ATTCAAAAGAATGTTGTGGTCGATAGTGTCAAACGCGGCACTAAGATCCAGTAGCACTAATAGAGAGATACAACCACGATCAGATGATAAGAGCAGGTCATTTGTAACTCTGATGAGAGCAGTCTCAGTACTATGATACGGTCTAAATCCTGACTGGAAATCCTCATAGATACCATTTTTCTCTAAGAAGGAACATAGTTGTGAGGATACTACCTTTTCTAGTATCTTTGACAGAAATGGGAGATTCAAGATCGGTCTGTAATTAACTAATATTCTTCAGGGTAAAGTTATTGTTGTTGTTTTTTTTATAAAGAGAGGCTTAATAACAGCCAGTCTGAAGGTTTTGGGGACATATCCTAATGACATTGACAAATTAATAATATTCAGAAGAGGATCTATGACTTCTAGAAGCACCTCTTTTAGTAGCTTAGATAATGTTGGGTCTAACATACATGTCAGGTTAATCAGTCAGGTGCAGATTAAGAATCACCGAGCTGCTGATTCCGTTTTTGGATAAAACAGTCCCAATTGATCCTTTAGTTAAAACTGAGTTGCTGATTTCCCTCAGTGAAAACAGAACGTCGTCAGAGGCCGTATTTGGAAGCGTCAGGTTAACCAGTCAGTAAAGATCACCGAGTCGCAGATTTCCTTGATTAGTATAAACGGTCCTTTTATCCTTCTAGTTAAAAACAACCAAAACGACCAGGCAACAGTAATCAAATATTTAAAATAAACAAGCAAATAAACTTAAACCATCAAGGAGCAGCGGCAGCAGTACGCGCCAGCGTTCACTCCGGAAGTCATTTCAACCATACAACTATAGTTGTCTGCAATGCGTTCAGCTGCAAGAGCATTATCAGGACCAGAGACACAATCATGGTCACTTGTGTGAACTCACAAGGTAAATAGCGAGGACATAATGGCACAGTCATAATTTCATGGGTCATGCGAATTGTAAAGTCAGTTGCCTATTTATCATTTACAGCAAAGCAAACCTGTTGTCAAATTTCGAAAACTACCCAAGTGACGTTAAATTCTATTTTTGTGCAAAAACAATGAAACAAATAAAACAATACAAATATACAACAGTATTACATAAATAAAACAATTAAATGTTTAAACAATTACAGAAATTATATTCATTGTAGGTGTAGTCTTGTTTAAAATTATGTAATACTTTCGTAATACATAATTATGTAAAATTGGCACCAGAAGTCACAAAGAACAGAATAAAATGTTATAATTAATAAATGACTCAACTGCGTTACATACAATTGAAAACATAATCTCACTGATCATAAATACGACAGAATCAACCAATAAATTCCATAAGGCACTTCCATTCATAAATATTTGTAAATGTGTACATCTGTAAAGTTAATTCATAAATGATGTTTTAGATGCTGTTAAATCAATATTATACATTTTATTGTCTATGTACATGGTAGAACCACACTTAATGTAAAATACATACAAATACTAATGGAATCATGTTGGACAGTCACTTTGTGTTCATACCTAAACAAACTGTCAGATATGTTACTGAACTAACAGAGTGCATCAAGGTCAAATCATCAGACGAGGATGTTGATGATTCAAATGAGTTTGTGAAGTTCTTCCCTAGTTTCATCTGGGCAGTGAGGGACTTCACCCTGGAGCGAAAGATTGATGGCAAAGATGCAACAGAGAATGATTATCTAGAGTTTGCTCTGAAGCTGAAACATGGTAATTTAAGTATGGTACAAAAGATTATTTTAAGAGCCCTCACAATCACGATCACAATGAGCTCTTGTAATGAGTTTTTCCAAACTTAATGGTTTATCAACAAATCTGTCTTACACTTACATCACTTATTCTGGTTCTATTTAAGATCCAAGTTTTTGGTGTACTGCATTTTGTTTAAATTGACTTATCTAAAAAAAGACAAAGATATCAGTTTCAAATCAGTTTTTTCTGCTACTGAAAATGATAGCATAGGATGCAACTTTGCAATATGTCTAAAGTAAAATGAAGTCTTAACTGTATGTTCACATAGGGGTGAAATGTAAAAAAAAGAATCCAAGATCACCCAAAGATTCAGTTTTATTTGAAACTCTATTACAGAGCCATTAATAGTTAGAGGTACTGAGCCAGTGTTATGTCTTATCACTGTTTAGACAAAGAACATTGTTAGCCATCTATGGTGTTTGTCAGAAATACATTTAAAATAAATGAATCAGCCAGACTTACAAGTCAGATGTACCTAAAAATAGTGGAGGCTACCATTCAAGGTGCCATAACCCAACCATCAGGAGCAAGTGATGTTCAGTGTCTTGCCCAAGAACACTTCATCAGTTGGTTAGGTGAAACTGAGATTTAAGCTGGGAATCCTCTCCTAGTCAACATATCTACTCCCTGAACCAGTGTTGTTCATCCACAGCAGATTGTGTTCTCCCTGTTCCAACTCTAGATCAGTGGTTCTCAATTCCAGTCCTTGCGACCCCCTGCTCTGCACAATTTGTATGCATCTCTTACACTTGATATATTTGTTCTATTCGACCGTAAGTGCTTTGCAAAGTGGACATCACAGGATATTTCACCAAGATTCCCCTTGGAAGGGAGTGCATACATTCCATTTAAAGGGCATTAAAGTGTGTGAGATGTGATATGTCACTTCTCTAGTAAGTTTCGTTTGTGTGTGAAGACACTGCAGGCCGCTGCGTAGAGCAAATCCGTGAACGAATGTTCCGAAGTGAAGTAAACTTCAATGGATTTCTCATGCTCAGGGTGTAGGGAGCAATGAACACTGTGTAGGGACCATGTCAATCGGAACACAGTTCATTTATTAAGCTATCTTACAATGAGCTGGTTATCTGAATTAGGTGTGTTAAATAAGGGAGACATGCAAAATATGCAGAGCGGTGGTACGCGAGGACTGGAATTAGGAACCACGGCTCTAGATCAGGGGTGCCAAAACTCCTGGAGGGCCACTGTCTTGCAGAGTTTAGCTCCAACTTGCCTCAACACACCTGTCTGGAAGTTTCTAGTATGCCTAGGAAGACCTTGATTAGATGGTGCAGGTGTGTTTAATTGGGGTTGGAGCTAATCTCTGCAGAACACTGGCCCTCCAGGAGCAGGACTGAATGAAAAGGGTTCAAAGTGGAGAAAAAAATGTCCAGTGACAATGTGACCCAGAAGAGTAGCTGAATCGGCTACACTCTGCTCAAAGGACAGACACACTTTTTTTTAACTTTACAAAACTCTAGAACTGAGAAAAGCTACAGCTTGTGTTAATCTCTTCTAGGAACATCAAAAAAAGTGATGGAGCACAACCTTCCCAGGGAGTGCATCCAAAAATTCTTCCCCTCCAGGACGTGCTTCACGTTCCCGTTTCCAACCACCCCAGAGAATGTGTCTCGTCTGGAGAGACTGGATCCTGCGGACCTTTCCACTGAGTACCTGGAGGTTACAGGACGTTTCTGCAAGTTTGTCTTTGACAAGAGCGATGTGAAGAAGCTGAAGGATGGATACACAGTCACTGGCAGAGGTGATTCAGAAGGACATTCGAAGAGTTTGCATATGTGCTTTCAGTGGAATTTCTATTGCTCAATCATTTTGTTTGACTTCTTTCCTTCTTTGAAAGTTCTGGGTCATCTAGCAGGAATATACGTAGACACCATCTCTAGTGGGGCTGTGCCGTGTCTGGAGAATGCTGTGATCGCCATGGCAATGATTGAGAATCAAGCTGCGGTGAAGGAGGGGCTTGAGGTGTACCAGAGTGGAATGGAGAAGCTGAAGAACTCCTTCCCTCTGGAGTTAAAGCTTGTGTCCTCGGAACACCAACGTCTCAGCAGCATGGCAACACAAACCTTCATGACTCGATCTTTCAGGGACACTGACGGGAAGCACCTGAAATCTCTAGAGGTTAGCTGGATCTCTCTCTGAGGAGGTCCTTTGAGCTTACTGATAGAGAGATGTTCTTTCAGAGTAGTGAATGAGATCTGGACATTCTCCCTGATTCCATCTTCTCATATATACCATTCTGTGCTGACAGTGTTATTCCAAATAAACAAGCCCTAAGTCACCAAAGAACTGAAACACTGTCTGTATGTTTTTT